CACATCTATAATCCCAGTACTTGGGAGGCCTAGGCAGGATGATCAGGAGTTCAAGGTCATCTTTGGATCCATAGCAAGATGGGCACCCATTTAAAATCTCCACTGCACGCCGTGGCCTTGGTGTTTCACTCTAGTCCTCTCTGAAGATCATTCCCCTAGCTTTGCATTTAGACAGTCAACTGCACTGGACAGCCCGAAACTCATCTCTCTGTCCTTGGCTGTGATGCTCTGTGACAATGACCCAGGGATTAAAGAAGTTTTCATTCTTTCTCCTAACAGAGTGTATCTCTACCAAAGTTACATTTTTAAGTTTTCCATGCTAATTTCATCAAATAATGGTAAACTTAAAGTGAAATGGCAATGAAAAGAGAACGTCTGTGTCTACATGCTATTAAAATTTTCTCTGGTTTAATTAGTTCTGTTAGATCAGAAGTGAGACTTTACCCTTGAGTACTTAGACTTCGTTTGTGGATATTTTTAGACATTTTCCCTCCTCTTTTATTTTTAAGATTTACTGTTGAAGATTTTTATGTTTATGAGTGTTCTGCTTGAATGTGTGTATGTGCACTTTGTTCATGCCTGGTGCCCCTGGAGGCCAGAAAAGGGCACTAATTTCCTGGAACTGGAGTTATGCACAGCTGTGAGCTGCCTTGTGGGTGCAGGGATCTGAACTCGAGACCTATGCAAGAGCAATAGTGCTTTTAACCACCGAGTCATCTCTCGAGCCCCTAAGATTTGTTTTTGTGTATGTGTCCATGTGAGTGTATGCTGTGTGTGCCAGTACCTCCAGAGGCCAGAAGACGGTGTAGGATCCCTTGGAGTTGGAGTACAGGCAGCTGTGACCCATCCAATAGAGGGGCTGGAAACTGAACTTGAACTTGGCCCTCGGAGCAGTGTTTTTAATTGTGGAGCTATTCCAGCCCCTTCAGACAGGATCTCATCTATCCCAAGCTGGCCTCAAACTCACTATGTAGCTGAGGATGACCTCGAACTCCTGATCCTCCTCTCCAGGGCTGGGATTATAGGCATGTGCTGTAATGAAAGGATTAGGTAGACAGGAAAGATTAAAAGCTGTAAAATTTCAGTAACAAATTGCTTTGCTTTGGGGGAGAAAACGTAGTACAGGCCAAATTATAAGGGCTGACAAAAAGAGGCTGTTGATATCAAATAAAGTGTCAAATAAGGTGATCATGCATTTATTCCTTGAAAAATATTTAACAATCACAATTGGGAAAGGTGACACTGAGTGAGGTAAAGTGAATTCTCTATACCTTCTTCCAAGTCTTAACAATTCCAATTAGCCACACATACATTTTTAATTAAACAGACTGTATCTTTCTTGATTTTAATTAAGATATACACAATTTTGGACAAATATACTGATATGGAGGTGTTTCTGAAAAGGAGGTCTTGGAGAATTTGGGATGACATAACAGTTGGTTCCAGTTACTTGACTATCATGGGATTGTTTTTCTGGTACCCATTTAAAATTCCCAAATTAGGGCTGGTGAGATGGCTCAGTGGTTAAGGGTACTGGCTGCTCTTGCAGAGGACCTGGGTTTCATTCCCAGCATGGGAATAGTGGCTGTAACTCCAGTTCCAGGGGATCCAATGCTCTCTTCTGGCCTCTGCAAGCACCAGGCAATGCATGTGGTATACATAATACACATAGGCAAAACACTCTTACACATACAATTTTAAAAATTAATCCTAAGAAAAAAGTCCCAGGGGGCTGGAGAGATGGTTCAGCAGTTAATTGGCTACTTTTACAGAGGACCTGTGCTGGGTTCCCAGCACTACATGGCAGCTAACAACCATCCATAACTCCAGTTCCAGGAGCTCTGTATCTCTTCTGACCTCCGTGGGCATTGCACAACATAGGTGCTCTTACATACATGCAGGCAATATACTCACACACATAAAGTCAAAATCAAAATTAAAACAATCCCAAATTGATCTCATTATGTGTTCTTACATCTATCCCTCCTCCTCTCAGACAATGTACTGAAGGAGAAGTTGATCTACTCTGTGTTCCATGGTTGGGCCTTATTTTCTAGGTATAAATCTATATATTTTTCAGAGGAGGGCTCAGGAATTCAGGCTGTCAGGTGGTTAGTTCAGGAATGAGACACTGAAGGAAAGTTTGCTAAGGGCTTCTAGGAAAACTTCTGCTTGTAATAATGACCAGAATTCACAGGCCCTCTTCATCAGACATTGCTGTCCTAGTACGCGTGGCCTGGGCTGTGGCAGTCTGCTGTCCTAGTACGTGTGGTCAGGGCTGTGGCAGTCTGCTGTCCTAGTACGTGTGGCCAGGGCTGTGGCAGTCTGCTGTCCTAGTACGTGTGGCCTGGGCTGTGGCAGTCTGCTGTCCTAGTACGTGTGGCCTGGGCTGTGGCAGTCATTTTTCTGACCCTGTGAGGCTGAAGTCTATGGAAAAGGAGGGGATGCTCAAGAACACACTAGGGAGCTGAGTTGGCAGCCAGGCTGAACCATGCCCGGCCCTTCCCAGATGTCCTGAGTCAATTGGTCAATGATTATTTTGAGTTTTATGAAGGTTTTACTTGAGATTCGGTTTTTGAAAGGCAATGCCAACATTTTAAGTTATCCCATTTATAGTTCTTTAATGTTGCTTTTGTTAATCCTTAATATTGGAAACATTTTTCTGTCTATAAAAAATCATGCTGGTTGTAGAGAACAGTAAAACAAAGAAGATTAAGGCATCCATAATCATATTCCCCCAGATAAATGCTACAGAGGTTTTGAATTGGTGTTCTCTTTATGCATACAAATGTGCAAATATATTTTACAGGCATATTTATACTGCTTTAATAAAACTCACATCCTAGTAGGAGGCGAAACAAAATAGAAAACCCAAACAAAAAGATTAACATTTGGGACTATGGAAGGGTGCGATTACTAAATTGGGCCCATTGTTGGGTTAATGTTTCTGATGTTGCTGTACTGTCTCCAAATACTGCACAAAGGGTTTAAGCTAATAACTACTAAAGCACAATATACCTTAAAGTATAACAATGGCTCACAGTGTTCTAAAAGTCAACTAGTTATACAGGGGCTCATGAATCTCCTTTCAGTGGGTGGCATTTTTTTTTTACCCATGACCAGCTGTAGACACTGTCAGGGCTTGCTTTGACCCAACCTATTGTTAGATTTTACTATCATGATGTTTAACCAATGAAAGCAAAAACAGATGCTTTATATTGATCCTCTTAACAGAATACACACGAAGGGTTCGGCATTTACCAGGGCCTTATTGGGATGCAAGTTATGTGATTGTACCAATCAATCCCTTCAGTTCTAAGTTTTCTAGTTTTCATTATGACTTTCTGACTTATGAGTTGGTCACAATGGTAGTACTACATAGGATCAGTGGTTATCTTTAGTTAATAGTTTCTAACTAAACTCGCAGTGGTCAGGGAATGTGATTGCATGTCAGTCTCAGACATGCAGACACTTGCTGTAGGATACAGCACACTCATTTTTTTTTTAACTGTCTCACATATTCTTGGAAGGAAAATGTATGATACGATTTTTGAGGCACCGTTTTATGCTTTTCTGGTAGACTGAGTTTGGCAATTTGTCAATTGCCATTAAGGCGACAGAAATACACTTAGTTTTCTAAGTTACAAGTCTGAGATCAGGTGTCTTCAGGGTCGAATTCTCCTAGAGGTTCTAGAAAATTCATTCTCTTCTTGAAGTTTTGGGTGGCTGTCCATGTTCCCTGACCTGGGGGCATGTCACGCCAAGCTCTGCTGTGGTGGTTGCTTCCTCATCTTCCCCTGACTTCTGTCTCCAACCTCTCTTTCTACGTACACTTGTATGGGCCACGTGGATGACTGGGATGATCTCTCAAGATCCTTGATATACTTAAATCTGCCCCCCCCATAAGGCCACATTTGAGGGACTAGGACACAGAAATCTTTTGGGAGGCATGTTCAACTCATTGCAATGTTAGAGATATATGTGAAAAGGACTTACTTTGATGACAGATCTTTCTGTATTTCTGTCAACCATTTGCTTCGTGTATTTTGATGCAGGCCAGATAAGGTCATGGCTTTTCTGTCTCCCGTGTAAAGGATCTTTTATATAGGCTTTATTGTTAGACACACTCACTGTGATGGTTAATTGTGTCAATCTGATGAGAGGGATTGTCTAGATTAGGTTTAGGGGGGAATACCCATTCTAAAGGTGGCCAATACCATTCTCTGGGCTGGGATACTGGACTAGATAGAAAGGTGAACACACACTGAGCATCAATATTCATCTCTCTGCTTTTTGACTTAGGAACACAGTATGACCAGCTGCTTCCGGCCTCTGCCACCACACCTCTGCCATGACAGACAGTACCTCTGGAACTGTAAGCCAAAACAAATCCTTCCTTCAACTGCCTTTAAGATATTTTTGTCACAGTAACAACCCAAGTGACTAGCACACCCACCCACCATCTACCTGGTCTACTGAGGACAAACTATTAGTTGTCTGTAAAAGATAATTTGTCTTCCTCCTGTCATCTTTTTGTTGTTTGGAATTCTTAGGTTGCATATATTTCTCATTTCATTTAATTCTCCTTTATAGAAAGAACAAAAAGCATATCACTGAACATCCCAAGATCATAGAATGAAAAAAGTGTGCCGACTTAAACGTCCTTGATTAGTACGAGGCAGCACTACCTACTGTTAAATCAATTTAGTGATTGGTAAAGACATTTTTTTTTCTTTTGGTCTTTTTTCGACAGGGTCTCCCTGTAGCCCCAGCTGTCCTGGAACTATGGAGACCAGGCTGGCCTTGAACTCACAGAGATCCGCCTGCCTCTGCTTCCCGAGTGCTGGGATTAAAGAGATAAAGCGTAGAGAAGCTGAACAAATGTGGTTACTGAAATACATCAAAGGTTGCAACTTCTCAGCAATTCTTGCCTTCAGGATAATTCCTTCTCTTGTGGACATAATAAATGCTAACTCGAGGTTTTTTTTTTTTTTTTCTAGACTTCATCCCGCCTCTGCTGGAAGGGGTTCCACAATCAATAACAGCATTCTGACATATTGTTTCTATAACTTGTGTATGCTAATGTACTCTAACGGAGAGTTACATCATGTTCATATTTGGCCCTCGAGACACACAACCTTTCACGGTGTAGTTAAGATTTGTGAATCTGGTAGGAAGCTTGCCATTTAAAAATACCATTCTGGCCGAAGTATACAGAGACGTTAAATGACTTAACTATGAATAGTTAAAAGAGTATTCATAGGAGACTGGGGATGAAGCTGGCTTGGTATGTGAGGTTTTGAGTCCGCTTACCAGCAACGCAAAAACAAAAAAAATCCAACACCCCAAATGCATTAGCCTTCTCCACTACGCATTATTCGGCGTTCTGTTTCGGGTACCAAGGCGGAGGAAGGCGCACACCTGCAGTCTGCTCCACTCACAGTCAATACCTGGGTCCTGTATTTCCACCCCCAGGCAAAGTCTGGACTTCGAGGCCCAGGCCTGAGCGACAGAGAGCAAAATCACAACCATGGAAAGGTGTATGGTGACGCACTCCTGTAATCTCCACGCTCAGAAGGCTGAGGCAGGAGGACTGCCGGGACTTGGAGGTCAGAGCTTGGGCTATGGAGTGAGAGACGTGAAATGCGATGTCGTTTCAAAAGAAAAACGTCTAATAAGTGCAACACTGGACGCCTGCTAGTTTTTCAGGCATCCTCAAGCGCAGCCCACACCTCTAGAGGAAACGCCTTTACCAGTGACGGCATCCTGAGGGGCGGAGCCAGCGAATTCTCTAGACGAGTCACTGCCCCAGCTGGCGAAGATGGGGCCAAGCCTGGTCGCGCTGAAGTGACTTACAGCGCCCGCCTCTTTCCTCCCGGCTTTCTCCGGGCTGGGCTGGTCGCTCGCACCACGTGCCTTACTGGCCGTTACCCCAACGCCCTTCCCAGCTGCCTTCTGAAAGCAGCTGTAAAATGTCGTGAAAGTCTCTGCCGCTTTACGGCTGCCTCTCCCAGAACTAGAGCCTCGGAGCGCCCACCACAGGTAGCGGCTCCTCCAGCGGAGTCGGCCGGATGGACAGTTGATCCCCTGCGCTACGCTGGCCTCTCCGCCGCGCCCGTGCGGGCTCCGGGCGATGTGAACACAAGGCGGCTGCTGTGCCCCCACGCCTGGGGGCTGAGACGGGCGGCAGGTGCTTGGGAGGCGGGCGGGTGCCGGCCCGGCAGGATGGAGGAGAGCATGGAAGAAGAGATGCTCACCTACGAGGCGATGATGGACGACCAGAACCACAACAACTGGGAGGCCGCCGTGGACAGCTTCGGGCAGCCCCCGCCGCCGTCTATCCCGGACCGAGAACCCCCGGGGGGTCAGCTGCTCGCCGTGCCCTCGGACTCCATGGACAGTAAGGGCCCCAAGGACGGGCTCCCGCTGGGGCCGCCGCCCCTGCCGGAGGCCAACGGGGTGATCATGATGTTGAAGAGCTGCGACGCCGCTGGGGCGAAGACAGCCCCTGCCCCCACCCCCAGCTCCACCATCAACATCAACACCTCCACCTCCAAGTTCCGTGAGTCCGGCCTTTCCCGCAGCCTGGGCTGCCTCTCCTCCGCACTGGCCCTGGGAGCAGCCCCATTTCCTTTGTTCCAGGCCTGGGTCTGTCCTCTCTTCCCCTTCCCTCTCCCTCCCCCTTCTGGTTCTGTGTCTGCGGCCGGCGCCGAAAGGCCCTGGCTTCTTGCATTACCTGCGCACTTGGCTCCAGGTTCTACTGCAGACACGAGCCTTATTAGGCCTGGCATCTCTCAACATGAGAAAGCTCTTTTCTCAAGAGTCTCCTCTTAAAGTTTCACCTTCTGAAGTGAGGGGAGCAGGGCAGGCTTGAGTTTCGTTAGCCGGAGAGAGGCCTTCTATCTTTTTTTGCAACCAATGAGTAGCAAAGAAATTTGGTAGCTTGTGTTCTTGTGTTCTTAGCCACTGGACAACAAGTAGATCGGGAATCTGAAAGTTGACTCATCAAATGAACACCTTGTGCACTCTCTTGTCTGCACTTTGGCATGCGGCTTCCTAATGCGGTGGTAGCCGCGACTACCGTTTTGAAGCTGATGTATAAAACCACTTCTCAGAGAAGCAGTTCAGCTTGTGGCCTTGCCCCGGGCTCTGTCGCCTTAACATTTAGTTGCAGGCAGAAAGATTCAAGACCACAAGCAAACACAAATGTTCACAGGTAGTTCAGTTCCGTAGCTAGGAAAAGATGGTGCTTTCTGACCCATGGTGGTGGTGTGGTGAAATGGTTGTGACCACTGCGGCCAGGTCTCTCCCTCCTCTTAGCTTCCAGTTTAAAATGGCATCTAGTAAAGCGGCTGGAGATGTTATTTCTAGTTACCAGTTGTAAAGCTGTGGCACTCAACTGCAGAGAATGTATTTGCCCTGATGGAGATAACTAGTTACAACCCTAGACAAAAAATTATGGGAACGGCACAGCCTTATTTATTTGCCTTGAAGATACTGCTTTAGGCAAAGTCACTTGTGAGGAGGTGTGGTTGGGAAGATATGTGATTATTCCCTGTTGTGCATATGCAGGACTACCATTTACATAATATAGTTTGTGTGTGTTGAAGGCTGTGTTGTGAAACTAGACCTTTACGACTAAGTGGCAGGGTGATTTACCTTAAATGCTGAAGGAAGTTTGGATTAATTCCTTTTTTTTTAAAAAAAAAAAATTTTGAGACAGGGTCTTTCTGTAGCCCCAGCAGGCCTGGAACTTGCCATGTAGACCAGGCTGCAGGCTGGCCTGAGCCTCAGAGATCTGCCTGCCTCTGTCCCATAAAGGATGGGATCAGAGGTGTGCCCCACCATGCCTGACTCAGATTAATTCGTAAATAGTTCCTTTGAACCAGCATAAAGAGCAGAAGTTACCAGCCAAGCTGATGAGAGCAAAAGGATTTGCCAAACCAAAAGGTAGTTCCTTGGAAAGATACTGTGGGGATGGGGAATGGTGGCTAGGCATGCAGCTAGCTCCTTTGGTAGAGTGTTTGCCTGGCATGCTCAAAACCTTAGATTTGATCCCTAGTACTTCATAAACCAGACGTAGTGGCTCATGACTGTAATCCCAGCAATCCCAGCACTTTGGAGGTAGAGACTGGAGGATTAGAAAGAAGTTCAAGGTTATCCTCAGCTGCATATGGAGTTAAAGGCCAGCTGGTGATAGACAAGACCTTTTCACAAAAAATCCCCAAAGCTCTGCAGACTTCTGATAAGATTGGTCAAGGAAAAAAGTTGCGAATAAATGAAAAATAGACATAGAACATTAGATTTAAAAATATTACTATATGCTGAAGCTGGGCATGGGGGCTCGTGCCTTTAATGCCAGCACTTGGAAGGGCAAAGTAAGTAGATCTCTGGAGATGGAAGTCAGCCTTATCTACACAGTGAGTTCTAGGCCAGCTGAGGCTGCAGGGAGACGTTGTCTCAAAGAAAAAAAATTATAATATGCCAATAAATTAGAAAACATAGATGAAGTGTATGATTGTTAGAAAACTATTAACTGAAAGTTGATATTGGAAGAAAGCTTGGACTAATAAATAGTTCAGGAACTTGAAGTGGTAATGCTAAGGACTTCCCCTTTCAGAAATTCTGGATCCAGATGCTCTCCGACATGAGCTCCATCAGGTTTGAGTAGCCATTTCTTTTTTTATAAGTTCTGGAACATAGGAGAGAAAAGCAAAACAAGCAACACCAAGATGATTTTATGGGGTTAGGGAGATCTTGATTCTAAAACCAGATAAGAAAATTATAGGTGTGTTACACTTATAAGCATAGAAGTGAAAAGCCCATGTAGTGCTAGCTCATCAAATCCAACCGACATGTGGTCAAAAGATTATGATTCATAGTTTGTCCTGTTTTGTTTCAATATGACTTTTAATGCCATTTAACCATTTAAGATCCAGCACCTATTTATGATAAAAACAAAGCTGGGGTACAAGATAAGTAAATAAAAGTCATTACTAAAACCCTACAGCAAATAATAACAACCATGGAGACATTTTTGATATATTCATTATAAGATGCTAACGAAGGGGCTGGAGAGATGGCTCAGCGGTTAAGAGCACTGACTGCTCTTGTAGAGGACCCGGGTTCAATTCCCAGCACCCACATGGCGGCTATGAACCTTACTTAACTCTAGTTCCAGGGGAATCCCAAGCCCTCTTCTGACCTCCGCAGCATTGCATAACACGGGTGCGCTCACATACATGCAGGCAATACATTCATATACATAAAATAAAAATAATAAAATATTAAAAAAAAGATGCTAATAAGCCATGGATGTACCTTATTTCTATTACTGTTTAACACATTAAGAAAAGTCTTTCTGACTGCTGGGTCACGTGGTGTGCTCCTTTAATCCCAGCCCTGTGGAGACCCAGGCAGGTGGATCTGAGTTCAAGTCAGTCAGGGATACATAGTGAGACCCTGTCTTATAAAAAGAAAAAAAGGAAAACGAGAAGACGAAGGAAAGTAGTGAGATCAGAACTTGGCACTAGTATTTACCAAGAAGAACCATTAAAACCAAGAGGGAAACTCAGTGTAGATGGATCATTAGATTTACCATCAACCTGGAAGAATGAGCAATATTCATACAGTGGTAATGGTACTGAGAATAGATGCTGTCTGTAATAATAGCAGCAAAACTGTAGCAACTCCAGGCCTTTAAGGGCACATGTTAAAACTTCAGTAAGAAACTAGAAGAGGATCTTAACAGATGGCCGGAGTTTCTATGTTCCTGAATCGAATTCTTACAGGAATGTCCTTTTTTTCCATTTTAATCTAGAAATTCAATTAGATACCATCAGCGTTACATTTGGTTTGTTTGACAAGCCCAGTAACACCCCTGGAATTTCTGTGCTGGAGACTGCGCTCTCTGCGGCCTTGGTATTGTCAGTCTTCAGTCAGGCAGTCTGCATGGTGGTACTCCATGGAGTGTCACTGTGCATTTCTGTGACTTGTGCTTTTGGGTTTTTCAGGTGATTTCTGGTCTTTCTGACAATTTTGTGGTAATTGTTCAGATTATTTTATTTATTTATTTATTTATTTATTTATTTATTTATTTATTTATTTATTTATTTA